AATCCCTTTTATTGGGGATTGAATGGAGTTTAGTGTTTACTGGCCCAATCCCCTCCCTGATGCCTATGCAGAGTTGTAACAGATAAATTCTCTTTGATACAGAAACATCACTAACTAGGACTGAACTCTCAACCTCCTGAGTGTGACATGAACATGTTCACCTCTAGGCCACCACATCTCTCCGAGCATTACATGCTATACAAATTCCCCTTAAATAAAAAAAAAGCCATCATTGCCAGGTAGATAACAGATTATTCAATAAATTAATAGTTTTAAGTCACCTTTTTATCTAGGAAGTTTCAGAAATAGTAATTGAAATCAACTTTAAACTCAGTGGGAAATTCAGAATTTGAAATTGAGATACAGTGCCACCTTGAGAAAGCTCCTTAGTTTAATTTTTTTTTAAAAAAAGTTCCATAATAAAGGTCTGCTTTTTCTGTATGTGTTTGCTAATAATTATTTTATTTTTAAAAGCAGTTTGCTTTGAAGGGGGACCAGTAATGATAGTTCTTTTCTTAATAATCATCTGTTAGGGGAGGCCCAGATTGAATATATTTAAGCTGCACTTCCAGCTTAGCTTTTATAAACCTCTGCAGTAAAAAATGTTGATCATAAAGTTGGTTGCTCTTTGTTAAGTCCTCCAGCTGAGCCTGCAGGTATTGAGGATAAAGTAACATTTATTAGTATTATTGCTTTTACAAGTTGAAGTGCTTTGATTGCTTCATTGTCCCCATTGATAAAATAAAGCTACAGGCAAATTGCAGGTTATAGTTGAAGGAAATTCAATCAATTTAGTACTGTGATAATCTCATATTACATAGCACTGTAGTCCAGAAGCAGAAAGACAACAGATCTGAATCAATTAATACACAAAACCTCCCAAATTAGACTACTGAAATTCAGTAAACTTGGAGAAAATCATATGGTTTATTAAAAAATTGCTCATATCTCTCTATTAAACATACATTTCTGGACTGAGTATGTAGTCAAACATTCCTCTCCATTGGACAGGTCTTTGAGTTCTAGAGAAGGTCCTTGCCTAGACCAAAATTTATTCACCTTGCAGCTCTAATTCCCAGGTTTTGTTTCCATCAGTAAGTATATGTAATTATTTTTCCTTCTGATAATAACAGCAACATTTTGATAACCATGGTCTGTTTGTTTCTATCCCATTTTGATTCTATTTAGTAATGGTGAGGGCTGATTGTGTCATCCCTCAATTCTTATTCTGACAATACTTAGCATACCTCAAAGGCCTAAGTACACATTGATCGCTAAGCAATGAATATCTGGAGGGAAAGGGACTCGAATTCATAAGCAGCAGGTCTGGAAATGGTTACCCAATCTATCCCCTTTCCTTCTTAGCTGCGGAATTCCATTTCTGACGTGGCTTTTCGCTCTTGCGAGAACAGCCTTTTTAATCACCCTAATTCCGAATCTTCCGATCCGTTGCTGCTCTCCGTGGTGCTGAAATCGATTGTAACACAATAGAAGTGTCCCCCTTGTACCGCCCACCGCCTCTCATCGCAGCCCTTTGAACAGGGTCTTCCCAGGAGCAGCCCTGAAGTGATAAATTTTATTTATCTTTTTCTTGCAGAACTACTCGATGCAACAATTTTTTTTTCTTCTGTGCAAGTCAGGTTCATTTAAAAAAAAATAAAAAATTACCGGAGGGCGAAAAGGTAAGAGATCGAAACAGACAGGCTTAATGCGAAATCTGGCCCTGCGCGTCACACCGTGGGGTAGCATTGTTTTCTTTTTATTCAAACGGGGACCTGAAGTTGCTCTGAAACTCTTTTATTTTCTCCAAACGGTGAATAGTGGTTTAAATGCCGGCAAATCTTTTTAACACTCTTTAAAATAGTATCTATTTATGATGGAGCAGCACGTGGCTGATCATTTCTTAAGCAGAGCAAAATGGTCGTTTCGGTGGGTAGTCAGCTATTTACTGCCTGTTACTCTCTGACGAGGGGCGTAAGTTATTTTATGGAAGTCCTTCAATAAAGGACAGACTAGTGACATCACGGGCGCTGCCTGATTCTCCTCTTCAGCCTTTCCTAATGTAACTTCTCTTTTCCTCCTCCCCTGATTAGGTGTCACAATGCTCTCCGTTCCCCCTTGGAGACGTATTTATATTAATCTGATATTACCAGGCTCCAAGCTAAAAAAAAAAAAACACCATAGATTGACAACACGGAAGAGCATTTCTTATATTCAATATGATCTTTTCCTGTCCTTTTGGCAAAAGAAAAAAAAAGGGAGCAGTTAAGAAATGCAAATTTAATGCGCGTGGTTAAAAGCGAGTCCAAACGATTAAGTGTCCTATTTTTGTCCGCAGACGCTGGAGAACGTCTCTCTCTTTTTTTAATTCGTTGGCGCCACCTAGTGGCGACATGGTGTTCGGTTTTCCGACTTCGAAAAACCTAGACGCGCCTTCAGAAAAAGAAAAGAGAAAAAAAATCGTTCTCCTTAAAACGACGATTTAATCATATAAATAGCCACCCGTGAGATTTTTAGCCGAGAAAGACAAGGAGAACCCTAAAAGTAGGATCGTAGGGATCTTTTGAAGAACTGAACTTATAATAAAAGCTGATGATCAGAACATGACAACGTTCCTTCTACAAAACGCTTATTATTGGACACACACACACACAAAAAAAAATCTGGCCTGAATTTCTAAGAACGAGGATGTTGGGTTTTTTTTTTGAAGGCTTAGTCTGAATAACAGGGAAACAGAGATATCCTTTAAAATGCGCGGTAGAAGAGAGCTCGGTTATTTGCAACCCCCAGTCGTGATCTGGCTCCGAACGAGTTCCAAACAGCCGTCACGTGCACCTACCCTACGGGCCTCCTTTCGAAAGCCAGAACACCTGCAAGTCAATCACATTAGCTTGATAACGCGCGTGATTCAACCACCCCCGTTAACACCCTCACGCCTCCCCCACGCTGGGATGGAAGGATCGTGGTGACTTATGTCAGCGTTGCAACAAATCTCAGTCGAGGCTTCTCGCTTTTAAAAAGCAAAGCACTTGGCAGCCCGGGAGGGGAGGTCAGTTCGAATTAAATTCCAGAGCGCCACTGATATTCCGCCGTCGTTTGTGGGGGAAGCTTATAAAGGACCAAGCCTCCTTCTAATATCTCGGCTTTTTCGATCCGATGCGTTTTGGACTCTCGGAGTTTGTTCTCGCGTCCTCTGCCTCTCATTGGTAAGTATTTTGCGATTTGTTTCTCGTATTGCTTTTTATGGCCACTTTCACCCACCTCGGTTTTCTCGTTCGGCTGGAATTTGAGCTCGTTCTCTCTCCACGACGCCGTTTCTGCGCCTTCCTCCTGAATTAAATTCGAATGAAGGCTATTCGGGGAAATATTTGGGAGCGGATGGCGTTGATCATAACCTGTTACTTCACCTCCCGATCTCGGCTCGGGAAAACCCATCCGTTCTCGGCTCCCGGAGTTCAAGAATTGAGGTCATGGGGCGGGGTGGCTGCTGCACGGGAATTCGGTTCGGGAGGCGAATTTAGACCCCAAATTCCAGCCAACCTGCCTTTATATTTTTGCAAGAATGAATGCTTGAACAAAAACTTTTGTGTTTAGAAAGGCAACCTTGACAGAGGTTATTTCCATCGGGCGGGGGAAAAAAAACCCTTCGTACATTTGGTGCCAGCTTGATTCTGTGTGTGTGTGTGTGTGTGTGTGTTTTGTGTTTAATTAACGCGGCGAAACAACTCCGAGACGCCCCAGCGGTGGCGGCGTCCTTAGGAAGAAAAGGAGAGAAATGGGTTGATCCGTTTGTCCCCATCCAGGAACCTTGGAACCCGGAGAGACGGAGTGAAAAACCCTGGCAGAGCCATGGAAAGGCCGAGCGGCTCCCCTCCAACCCAACGCTGGATTATATTTATGAAATCACAAAACCCCGAATTTTGATCATTTTGAGGGCATTGATCCCGAAGGGCGGGCAGTTAGTTATATTCCCGGCTCTTTGGCGCACCTTTGTTTGCCTTCCCAAGGCATTGGGGCTATTTCGCGACCGCAAATTGCTGTGCCGGCCGAATATGTTAGGCTTACCGGTTTATTTTATCCGCATTGGGGGGTTTTCCCCCCACAACTAAACAAACGACAATGTGCCTTCTATATATTTTTTTCATCTGAAATCGAAATAAAATTGGAAGGAAGGAGGTATCTATGCCGCAAAAGTCGCTTACCTAAGAGTATAGGTCTATCAAAATATTCTCTCTCCCTCCCTTTCTATCTCTCTCTCTCTCTCTCTCTCTGTGTGTGTGTGTGTGTGTGTGTGTGTGTTCTGAGCATGCTTACTGGAAGTTGGTTTCCCATTTGGCGTGAATCATAATTAGCCTCCTCATCGGCCTTTAATAGAGCTGCCCTAGACGTTCCGGTCAGCTGAATCCATCCTTCTCTCCACCGCCGGCGACACGCCAGTTTATTTCCCATCCCTGCCAGGAGCCAAAAAGGAATGGCTTTTTCAGCTCCTGAGCCCCGTCCAGACAAGCTCCCCTCTCGCCGCGCTTAAGCAGCCAGCGCCGTCTCTTCTAAAACCCGACTTAGGTGTCGTCACCTCCAGCCATTTCTCCCTCCAAATCGCTTTTGTCTGAGAGCAAGATCGGCGAGGCCGTTGCGGGGCTTCGGGGGTGGGGGAGGGGGCGCGCGGAGGCTTTCATAGGGAATCGGGACTCCTCTTCTTGTTCGGGTGTGTATTCACACCTTCCTTTTGTGCAGGCTTCTCTCTTCACACATGCACAGGCGCACCGTCCCCACCCCTCCTCCGACAACAGCCACTTCCCGAGGAGTTTAATAGCATACTGTTGGCTGCAGACCCGTTTTCTGGATGACCCCCCCCCCCCCGCCCCAGCTCCCGCGAGGAAAGAGGGAGAGAGAGGCAACGATCCAGGCTCTTCCGCGGAACAGGTTTCTAAACCCGCTTTTCTCTTCCGTTGCAGCCCGTCCTTTTTGGGGGAGACGGAGAAAGATCCAAAGAAGACTCCTGGGACCCAAGGGCTGTGCCTCTGGACCTCATGGCCACCTCGGATCCCTCCTCCTCCAACACCGCTCAGGATCCCAATCCAACTAATTTACGACCCACAAGTAGGTCTCGGGTTTTCGTTTTGCAAACCTCGGCCGTGCATGCGCCCCTCCTTTAAAGCCGGGGCTTCGAGAAAAACAGCCGAGACGCACAAATCTCCCCACCCCACCCTCCCCCAAAAAGACCAACATGGAAGCCTTCTTGGATTCCCCCCTGCGCTAAAACCGAGAGGATGCCGAAAACGAGCTTGGGGAGGGATGTTGGGGGACGGGTAGTGCGTAGTTTTCTTCCTTCCTGAAAACAAAGAAACCTGATGCTGTTCCTAACGAAAGGCGAAGGGAAGGTGTGGAATATCTGGTCTCGCCGCCACCTCCCACCCACCCACACACACACCCTCGCCATTGACTTGGTGCTAGAGGAAAGGGCGGGGGGGGGGGGGCGATTCTGCAAACGCCCATGGCCCTTTGTGGATGCCTCGGGTCTCAAAGAGTCCTTCCCCGTTTTTTTCCGCTTCGGCAGCCCTTCCTGAGGGCGCCCGGAAAGGCAGGGCAAGGAAGGGCAGGGCAGAATTGCTCGCTGCCCCGAATTGGAGGGGAGACTGGCAGATGCCAGTGACAGTGATGCTGCAGGTGGCAGGAAGGGAAGGAAGGAAAAGGGAAGGGAAGAGGAGGGAGGGAGGGAAGGAAGGAAGGAAAAGGGAAGGGAAGGAAGGAAAAAGGAAGGGAAGGAAGGAAGGAAAAGGGAAGGAAGGAAGAGAAGGAAGGAAAAGGGAAGGGAAGGAAGGAAGGAAAAGGGAAGGGAAGGAAGGGGAAGGGAAGGGAAGGGAAGGGAAGGGAAGGAAGGAAGGAAGGAAGGAAGGAAGGAAGGAAGGAAGGAAGGAAGGAAGGAAAAGGGGAGGAAGGAAGGAAGGAAGGAAGGAAGGAAGGAAGGAAGGAAGGAAGGAAGGAAGGAAAAGGGGAGGAAGGAAGGAAGGAAGGAAGGAAAGAAGGAAAGAAAGAAGGAAAGAAAGAAAGAAAGAAAGAAAGAAAGAAAGAAAGAAAGAAAGAAAGGGCTACTCAATTCTTGACTATAGCGCGTTCAGACAGCCACCCAGTTCCCATAGAAGAAATCGAGCTGGAATCCGGCTGCTTGACTTGGTCGCCGGAGACAAAGCGAGGGGGAGGCTGCTCGAATGGGAAAGAAACGAAGCCTGGCGAACCCCGCCAAGCAGAGGGAATCGCGTTTGCCCTAGAAGGGCTTCTCGGGGTTATGAAGCATGAACGCCCAGGCGTCGCTGTGAATAGCAGGGGCGATTTTCAAGGGAAGACTGGGGAGGGGAGGGAGGAGCAGGAGGATGGGCAACCAAACCAAAACCGTCCCTTTACAAAATCTGGACAAGGTTTTTCTGTCTTTTCTCACCCCCCACCCCACCCCACCCCACACACCCTTCCCGGCTGTAAAGGCTGCCTAACTCCCAAAGTGGCCAAACGACACACCGGGTTAGGAATGCTCGTTCATACAGTGCGTTGCTTGGCTCTCTTCCTGGACTTGACAAAAGGAAGAGAGGGGTGTGTGTTGTGTGTGTGTGTGTCTGTCTGTGTATATTCGCGTGCTCCCCTCGGCAAGCCTTCCCGCCGCCTTCCCGCCATTCAAAGGAATGCGCCTCCCGCCAGGCGCCCCCGGCTGGCAATTATGCCGGGCGCGCAATTCCCGCCCGCGCTCCCGCAAGCCGTTCCCTCTATTGTTTCCCGACGGCTCGCGGGCGCTCCCTCTGCTGCCTCCGAGGTCCCGGTGGGGAAGGCGCCGCGCGCGTGGGTGGGATCGGGTGGGGTGGGGGAGGAGGTGGTCTGCTTTATTGCCCTCCTCTTCCTCTCTTTGACGAGCTCCCGCCTCGCCTCTCGGGCTGCCTCGGGCGGGGAGCGAGCGAGGCTGTTTTCCAGTCCTGTCAGAGCTGTTTTCATCGCCTGCCATTCTTTTGCCCGCGCTTCCCTTTGGCTCCCCGCCCCGTCCCCCCTCCCCCCCCCGTTTCTCGCCCTCCCGGCGTCCTTCTTGGCCATTCCACTCTCCTCTTTTACTTGAGGCCGCCCCCCTCCCCCCTTTGCCTTTGGTCCTAGGCAGCCCCTTCCCCCCTTCCCAGCTCTCTTAGTCAGCAACCCTCGTTTGTCTACCGCCCGCTCAGTGTCATCTCTGCTAACTGTACGATTTGGGGTTTTTTTCTCCCCGTTTTCCTTTCTCACCAGCCTGGCTTGTTTCCTTCGCCTTTCCTTTTTCCTGTCTATTTTTGTACCCTCTCTCCAATTTTCAGAAGACCTCCCTCTTCCAGCCACACTCTTTTTCTGCAAGCCGTCCAGTTTATTTATTTATTTATTTATTTATTTATATTTTGTCAAGCGATTATAAGAGTACAGATATAAGTATAAACATAGCTATGAATACATGAGATGGATACATATACGAAAAATAAAAAGAAACAATAGGGCAGAGAGGTGCGCTTATGCACGCCCCCTATTATATATAGTTGTCTAGATCAGTCTGCTCAAAGAGGATGCCTCCTTGATGAAGTTCAGTTCCCAGCCTGGGAATCCTGATGTTGGAGTCAAGTCCAGTGCATTTGGTGGGCACCAGGTTGGAGAAGGCTGCAACAGGAGGCTCTTTGTCTTTGCCCATCCGTTGCTGCCCCGATAGGTAATCCAAAGAACAAGAAAAGCTTCTAGGCCCGTTGAAAGCAAAGGACTGAAGGCAGAGGGTGGGTGGAGCCAAAGTCCAGGACCTTCCTTTCAGAGCTCCTCCCCCTTCTATTCAGTTCCCAAGAAGCAATAAGAAGACGCTGTCTTTTGGTCCTTGGGCTGTTTCTATTTTCTTACATGCTGTTTTGAAATTGTGGAACCCATCAGACTTGCATGGAAATATGAGCCAATAGTGTCATTTAATAACCATTCTCAAAGTGTGTGAAGTCCTTCAAGACTAGGGTAGGTTACGATTGAGTTACAAAGGTCAAAAGTATTCAGAATATTTCCACGATGCTTTTGCAATATTAATTTAAATGGATCTTGCCTTAAATTTATTTGGGGAAAACTTCCCAATGTCATGTAAGACCTATCTGGATCTTTCTTCAAATCTTAAGTGGTGTACTCTACATTTTAATCTCATCATTCGCTTCCTATTAGGATCCTGGTGTGTGGTCCATATGACAACATCACAAATACTCATCTGAAAGCCAAATTGATTTAGTAAAAGTAACACCTCACTAACTTCATTTTAGTGGAGACTGTAGCCCTTTTATACTTTTATTTATTGGACAGCCTTTTGGTCCAATGGAGTTTCCAAGGCATCAGTAATCTTTTTTCCCCCTTGAATCAGTTGAATGTCCTTTGCATATTCCTTCTTTTAATCCACTTTTGGGTCATTTGCTTGTCATTCTCTTGTCATTTTTCCTTCACTTCTTATCCCCATACTCTGTGAGGTACTGGGAAATTGAAAGCAGGAGGAGGCATCCATTCCTAGCAGAATAAGTCTTTTTTTTTTTCTCTGCTGGATAAGCTACACTTGATGTTGTGTACGGCCCACCTTCTTGGCAAAGTCGTGATTCCCATTTAAAACAAAACAAAAAACAAGGAAGTGGGTTGCCTGAAGGCCATCAGCTCCTCCCTTGCTTTCAGCACCTCCTGGAATGGACAGCGCAACGCGCGCTTCAGGAGTGGGGCAGAGGAAGAAGGTCGGTGGGAGGGGGAGGGGGCGAAGAGAGCAGGCCGGATGAAAGGGGGTGTCTCGAAAAGGGGGGAGCAAGCGGACGTGAGAGGCCTTTTAATGTGCCACCCTGACTCGTCAGTCGCCTGCAACCTAGTCATGCAAGTCTGATCATCTAGTCAAAGACTATTGTTCACCCAATTAATTCTTGAACTCTTCCATGACCCCATTTCATGCTAGTTTATTTTAAGCTGCCACTTTCATGGAAGCCTGCCAGTAAATTATTAGGAGATCGGATCTCTCCCAGCTGCCGGTTTCTTCCTGATAGGACCTCTTTGGCCACTGAGCCTTGAAACCACCGCTTGTCCACACGCGTGCCCGTCAATCAAGTCTCCCATCACCGCCTCCTCCTCCGCTGTGGCTTCCAGTATTGCGGAGCTTAAAGCGTTGTTAGCAAAAAAAAAAAAAAAAAGTAAAACTAGAACAAAACCAAAACAGCTGCTCTCCCACACGAGTCACACCAAGCTCTGATGCCTTCCATAGCCTCAATCCCAGGACACGGTATAAAAAGCTATTAATGCTCTATTTATATGGATGGTTAAAATCGTCTTAATTCGCGGTGGGGGGTGAGGGGAAATAGAGGAAGCAGAGATAGAGATAAATTAGATTTGTACGCCACTGGTGCCCACTATATCGGCACTTCTTCCCACGCCCCCCCCCCCCCCCCCCAAAAAAAACAACAAAGTTCCAGCTTGAACCATGAGACTTTGTCCCACACCTTTTCCTAAACATTCTGCTTCTGTGCTGGTTTTGTGAAATCTCGCGTGTAGATTTGCTAATCTGCCAGATAGGAATTGCAAGACGGCACGTGAGGTATCCGTTCGCTTCTGCAGGAAGTAATTTTTTGTTTGTTTGTTTCTATTCCCTTTAGCCTATGACACCTGGTGTGGTGTAGCTCATGGCTGCACGAAGAAAATCGGGCTCAAGATATGCGGTAAGTGAAAAGGGGCCCCAAAGGGAAAAACCAAGAATTTCACACTTTTCTCACCCAACTCCCTCTTACCCACATACACGCAACTAGATACCCGCGTCCTCCTTTATGCATTGCCTTGAATCTGTAATCCCTCATGAAGCTTTTAATCTTTCATAATAATAATAATATTTTTTTAAAAAAAAAATCCGGGAGGCCTGAAGGAACTAGGTTGGTTGGCAAGGAAAGTAGGCTATCTTCTTTTATCTTGAGACGAGGCAGAGGCGGAATGAAGCTGCCAAGAGGTGCTCCTCCTCCCTCCTCCCACGGAGAAGTTTAACAAGGCAGCCGCTAGCTAGACTCTTCTTTTGGAAGAGAAGTGGGGGGGCGGGGAGGGACGGATCGGAGGAGAATCCCATTTGCTTTTCCCTCCTGGGTCGGAATCGGGTGCTGGGATCGAGACTCTTGCGCCACCTACTGGTCAACGTGAGCGAAACTGTGGACGCGGCGGGCGATTTTCCCCATACAACATAGATTTGAAGGAGATTGAGTGGCGGCGATGCAAAGGAGCTTTCACAGCAACCGGAAAGTCGCGGGGAGGGATTTTTAGGAACAGAAGTTGCACTGGTGGCGAGGGGAAGGTTGGTGGGTAGGAAGTCGGGGGTGCGGCAGGTGCTTATGCGTAGCGGAACCCAGGTATAAGGTTTCCCTCCTAAGCAGGGGGGTTGGGACGAAGACCTCTAGGGGTCCCTTTCCCACTCGCTTTATTTTCTTCTTCAATGGGAATCGTCTTTGAGAGAGAGAAGAGCCGGGAAGAACGAGTGGAAAACTGGATTGCAGCCCAGAAAGGGGTGTGTAAGGGCCTTAGATGTGCGGAGTAGTAGCTGCTCTGCGGGTTTGGCTTTCCGGAGGTGGGGTTTTTCGAGGAGATCAACCCCGGCTCCCTAACTGCTCCTTTTGTATCGCGACTCCCAAGGTCCGCTCTCCATCAGGAAGGCTCCCCCGATGGCCATCCGGGAAGGGGGGCGGGAGTGTTGGCAGAGCCGGAGAAAGTGCCAGGGCGGCGGGAGGGAACTTGAGCGCAGTTCTCTTTGTCTGAAACGTTTTCAACCTTATCGGCCCGGAAAATACAGATCTCCTGGGGGAGGAAGATTAACGAGGGCCTGATTAAAAGAGCCATTCGTCAGGCTGCTGCGCCTGGAGATAGGGACTGGCCTCCCGCCCGCCTCCGAAGGAAGGAAAAAAGGCAGCGGAAGAGCTGGATACCATCAGATTGCATCCTCTACCGCTGGAGATCCCGGGGAGGGTTGCAAGGCATCTGCCTGGGCCTAAGTTTCGCTCTAGGGCCTCCTTCCTGCCAGCGAGAGAGCCCCGAGTTTTCTTCATTTATCCATGTAAATTATAAAGGCCTTTTCGGAACACACACACACACACACCGTATCTGCTTGGAATTTCAACCTTACTGCATTTTGTGGAGCCAAACTCACCTAACTAATATATATATATATATATCCATAAAAATTTGCCTGCTGGTTTGGGCATTCTTTGTTTGTGGGCAAAGCAAGAGATTTCCGACTGCTAAGCAGGAGCACAGCTATCAAGATCTCGTTCAGAGGGTTAGAAAGAGGGAGAAGAAACTCGCGGAGCTCATACTTAATTTGTGGCCAGGAACCACCGGTCAATGTTGGTGCCATTTAGGCTATTTCTTCTTTCACGAATAGCCCTTTGTAGTTTTAGACCGTTTTCCTGCCAGTCCCTTCAACGGCTAAAGGGTGCTAGAGGGTTACACACACACACCCGCCCTGCCTCACCCCTCCCCACTCATCCCCATATTTTAATCCAACTCGGCAGAACAAGATTCCCCATTGATCCAGCTCAGGGGTCTCCAACCTTGGCCCCTTTAAGCCTGGAGGACTTCAACTCCCAGAATTCCCCAGCTGGTTGAAGGCCTCCAGGCTTAAAGGGGCCAAGGTTGGAGACCCCTGGGATGCCAGCTGATTCGGATTGGTACACTACAACAGTTTCTAAGCCAGCAAGTCCCTTCTCCGAGCCAAAGAAGCCGGGGTTCCACTTCGGCGCGCACTGGCTGCTTGGGAAGAGGCTCAGCTGTCAGCTGGATAGAAAGAACACAAGTGCCGTCGAGGTGGCATCGGTTGGCGGCACCAAGAGGCTTCTTTCACTCCGGATTCTTCTTTCAATCCGTCTCAACGGCCGGATATCCAGCTCATTGGAGTTGTGAAGGACGAATGAGCCTCTCCAGCCAATCCAGCGATCTGCCAGGGGGACTCTCGGAGCGAGGCGGGGGGCGCAATGGGCAGCTGGGCGTCCCTCCCCTGCGGGAAATGGCCAGTTCTCACGACCAAAAAACGAAGTCGTGTTGGTCAAGATTCAAGAAGGGCGCCCCCCACTCCCGGGCCTCTGCCAGATTCATGGGCGGTCCTGGGGTGACCCGTGACTGGATTGGCTTTGTGGCTGGCCCTGCGGCCGCTTTCGAAAACGAGAGAGGGACGCGAGACCGACTCACGCGGAAGAGAGAACGGCCTGCGGAAAGGGACGTTGCAACTTGCCCACCTGAAAGGCCGCCAAAAGCTAAAAGCAGCCGAGATGCGGAGTTTTTTCAGTGGGTTCGGTCCTGTCGGGCCTTCCTCCCGAAACTCTCCAATCAAAACCGAAGGCGCGGCGGGCCTTCCCAGCCCATGGGTGGGGCCGGAGAGCCCGCTTGAAGGACGGCATCTCAAGGCAAGCGAGGAGCCAGGGTCTCTTTCACAAGGAGACTCAACCCTGAAGTCTGTGAGCTGCCTTCTTGGCCGTCGGCTTTCCGCTCCTTTTCGGAAGGCGCCTCAGAACGGGAATTACATCAGTAAAGGCAATTCTGACCAAAGCAGGCCAGGGCTACTACCAAAACCCCGCAGGGAGGAACCAAAACTTTTCGTTCAAGAAGCAATTCAACCCCGTTATCTTTTCTCTTATCTTTCTCCTTCTCCTTTTTTTTTCCTTTTGGAAGAGGGAGGGGGGAGGATCCTCAGGATCCTGAGCGAGCGCTTAAGCGCAATGTTTGTTTGTTTCTTAACTTACTGCAGAGGGATCGGTCTGTCATCTCCACTAATATTCGATGAACTCTAACCAACGTGCCTAACTAGAATATTGGCCATGTTCTTCAGCTTTCGGGTTATGTTTTGAAGTTATTCTCCGACCGAGTGATATATAATTTTCGGTCTTGAGAACTAGAAGCTTGGCAGATTCCTGTTCTCTAGCAGGAAAGGAGAGAGAGGGAGGGGGAGGGGAGGGAGGGAGAGAGAGAGAGAGAGAGAGAGAGAGAGAGAGAGGGATCCGTCCGAGAAATGGCAAGGGGAATTCTAGCTGTGCAAACGCACCTCATTCCAGGGGATTTCAGCCTTCTGGGTCTCGGGACCGAAATGGCAACTTGGGGGCTGCAGGTCACTTTGGATGCAAACTTGTTCGCTGAGCTGTGATTGAATTTGGCGGGGTCCTTTCTCAATAGCGATTTCTAGAATTGAGATGGTTCTATCCAAGTACAAGCGCATTCTGTTGGAAGTGAACTTTGCTGAGAATAATCCAATTTACTTTTATTTATTTATTTTGGAACAAGCTGACTTTCTCAATACATCGAGCCTATCTGAATTTTTATGGAGGAAATAGATATGCTGAATTTTTACTTATACATGAAATAAGTGCACAACGAAAGCAGAATTAGCAATTATGCACCTCCCCCCCCCCTTCCAAATAAAGAGCAAGGAAATTGTTTCCTGTCTCGTATATCAACCATAGGAGGCCGAGCAATACTTTAGCGGGATGATAACTGACAAAGGATATGAGCTTTGTGCTTCAGCGGAGGCTTAAATCACTTGAAACATCATAATTAAACTCAATAAAAACTAATCAAAGCTCAACCCTAAAAACAAGTCTACTAATTCAAATATCTTTGGGATCGTTTGAGGTAATATATAAAAAGGGGGAATGTGTTCAAAATGCAAATAACCCAAATTAAATAGGTTTAAATTTGTACTAACTGGCTTGTTTCCCTTGAGTGACTAAATATCACCTCCGTAAAAAAACGAGGAAAGAACAGGTAATTATCGGCATGAAGCAACACAACCTAATGTCCCTCTTTTGATGTCAACGGTGTTATCCACAACTCTGATTCTTTCTGAATTGGGCTCAGATGCTTGTTTTCCTTTTTTTTGACCCTTCTTTGTTCTTCCCAGAAAGAAAAAGAGCCAATTTCCCTACTAGGCATTTTTTTTCTACACCAACAAGAAAAATAATGCCCTTTTTGATTTCTGTTCAAATGTGTCAGTGACTAGGAAAGACTGTTTTTGTTTGAGATAAACCAGAGTTGACCTGTAATTTATGTTCATGATGCCTCTAGGGCTCATTTCCCAAGCATAATTATTAATATAGCCAAATACCACCTTCTCCTTCTCCTTCTCCTCCTCCCTCCCTCCCTCCCTCCCTCCCTCCCTCCCTTCCTTCCTTCCTTCCTTCCTTCCTTCTTGTATTTACCTCTCCGTCTAAGGAACCCACAGTCAAGAAACATGTTGCTTGATTTATAGTCAACAAATGAACTGGAATTTTTTTTAAAAAAAAATCTGGCTGGCCAATTAGAAAGTAATCAAGTCTAGATCATCTGCATAACTTTCCTAATTGGCCACGCTCTCCCTTAGGTAGCATAGGCTTTGTCCAATGAAGCTTTAGAGAGTATCCCAACATTCTATATGAGATTTCAAAGAAAAAGAAATTTAGGTTTCTGGCAGCTGCCTGAGGTTTTGTAACATTTACCTTGACTGCTGGAATGCAATTGGCATGAGGTCTGCTGCAATAAATCAAGATGAAATCATCCAACGTGAATTCCAGCTATTTGGAAATAGAAATAAATATGTTTGGGATGTTGATAGAAAAGTTCTTTTATCGGGTTTCTCAAAATGGAGGCTTAATTTCTAAAACGAGAGGGCTTAACTTAATCTGTCAGAGACTGGATCAGAAATCAGTGCTTTTGCTCTAAA